CAGGGCTCTGCGAGCCTCATCAGTTGTGGCGCGGGCTCGCCAGGAGAAGAGCGAGTGTTTTGCTATTTCCGAGCTAATGTGGGGCTTTCTTTGAATTATTGTTTTTTGAGCTGGAAGGAAAGGAGGCTTGTCACACGAGATATCTGCTATCAGTACACAAATAACAGCAAGCCCATCATCGAATGGAAAATAATCGCCGCGGAAACCGAGTTGCAGGGCAGCCGGGAGGGATTATTACAGGCGCTGGCAGTGGCGATGCTGTCAAGGAGCCTGTGTCAGCACTTCCATTACCACCCACCTGGTTTCAGCGCGGCCCCCGAAGCAGCGCGCGGGGCCCCAGCGTGGGGTCATTTCTATTCAGAAGAGTTTCAGATCAACTGGCTTTGATTGGGTTTAAATGATGGAGTGTTTAAGAGGGAGAGAGAGGAAATACGAGGATGAGATGAAGGGAGGCATCTCAGAGGAGGGGGGGTTTGGTACTCAGAGAAGTGGAAAACAGTTTGAGATAGCAGAAATCAGGAGTTGGGAGGGAACAGCTGGTCCTCATGGAAGCAAGTTTCAGATGGCCCCAGGGAAGGACAGCACAGGGAGAAGTGGGTGGCACCCCCTGTGCCACCCGTTGCAGCAGTTCCTTGGGAGGCACCTGACTCTGCATTAAGCCATCAGTGCAGATGAACAATTGAGTTACAGACAATTTATTTTGTTCGTTTGGCAATATGCTGAGCTCCTGGGCACAGAGAGCCCTCATGCCTTGCAAACTTTGCTCATTGAGTGATTTGGGAGCATAGTTTCCTCTGTGCTGCGTAGTGGTGAGGGGCTGTATGCATCCCATGCTGTCATGGCTGTTGGTGTGCTGGGTTCCCTTTTTTTCTCACTTAAATGCTCTCCGAAATGGCAGTTCGCATTCTGCTTGTGAGGGAAAGCTCTCCCTTCAAAGTGACCCACTCCCACCCTGCATAAGCCTTACAAAGCTGTCAGGGCACAGGCGTAGGGCAGGAGCGGGGATGACTTCACGGCTCCATGCCTATTCAGTGTCATGCTTGTGTCCCCATTACCTGAGCTGCTCTCCCAGCCTAAAACCCAGGTCCATTACCGGCTGCTTTGTGGTGAATTATGTCGGATCTGTATCAGTGTAACTGAGTGTGCAGGATCCAGCCCTCCATCCCCAGTGGGATCAGGAGGGTTCGTTTCAGTCCCCACCTGGGCTGGGGTCCATTTGCAGATGCCCTCCGAAGGTGCCTGTGGATAAATTCCTCCACACAGGGGTGCGTCTGCACGCTGAGACCTCTGCTTTCAGAGCAGGAAATATTCGGTTTCAACACTTGGAGTTAAACATTTCCGCGGAGCCCAGGAGACCGTGCAAACAGCGGGAGCACCGAGGCTCTGCCTTTTCATCTCTCTGGCGCTGGCAAGCAGGGGGTCGGCAGCAGGGGAAGCACGGCAGAGCCGAGGAGGGTAAACACTGGAGCTGAGCCTACCGAGTAACCAGAGAGGGAAGGGGAGAGAGAGGGGCAAAGAAAACAAAAACACAGCTGCCAAAAAACAAAAGCCTGAAAAGAGCCATTCAGTGTCTCCCAGGAGCGGGTTTGGCACAGGGCAGGGAAGGACAAGCAGGGAGTAGGCGCAGGTCCATCCCACTCAGGGATGTGCACCCTTTGTTTGGCCCTGTGCAAATCAGTGCCCTCTGCTCCATCCAGCGGGGTAATACCTACACCCCAGCACAGTCCAGCCACACACACGGTGCGGCATCCTTTGTGTTTTTCGTGGATATCAGGATGTCCCTGCTCCCAAAGGGAGAGGCAGGATATATGCATCCCCCTCCACCTTGGCATTCACAAACGTAACCTGAGGACTTGCCAAGCCCATCCTCTCCCTCTCCCCACAGCCCAGCATCCCACGCCGTGGAGCTGGGGTACCACTGCCCGGCATGAGACACCGCAGCGTGGGTGTGTGCGAGGCTCTGGGGCGCGCCGTGGATGTGGATGCTGCTGATCTGGGGAGACGCATCCCAACAGCAGCCTCTGTGGCACTGCAGGCAGGCAGTGGGTTCCACAGACCTGGGGAGGCTTGCGTAGGTGTCCTGCTGGCACGGGAGATGGTCCCTGCCTTCTGCCTGTCACTCGCACTTAGACCTGCTCCCGCGAAAGCGCGGTTGTCAGCCCCTTGGGCCAGGAGCCGGGGCTCTTTCTGTCTCCTGCTTCGCAATCTGTACGTCAGGGACTTGGCTGCATGTCCGGGTTCCTGTTCTCCTGCCCCTCTGGAAGCCCTCATTTCAGTGCAAGCACCAGCCTCCTGCACTCGCCAGAGCAGGGGGATCTTCCCTGCCTGTCATGAGGATGAGGGGTGACAGCTGTCACATCCTTCCTTGGCATGAATTCGTCACTGTATCATTGGTGTAGCTGGTGGAAAAGGCCATTGCTGCTCATTTCTCCGGCTGGCCTGGGCTGGGGTTGGGACCAGCCATGGAAGGCAGCAAGGCTCCTTCCCATGGCCTGAGATCCTTCCTGGTTGCTCCAGGCGTAGAAATCCAAAGTCACCCCTGCTTAGGAACATGCACCCCATGGAATAGTACTGGAGTTAAAGCAGGGAGCAAGGACTTGGGTGTGCAGGAGGTTAAAAAGGCCACCAGTCCAGTGTACAGAGCTGGTCCCCGGGAGGGACCCCAGCTATGCTTCCTGAGGTTGCCAATCCCAGGTCCAGAACACTCCATCACCTCCCCCAGCAAATGAACACCTCTGGGCTCTCTGGAGAACAGAGACACAGGGATGTTCAACCTCTGTTTCACCCTCCTTTGCTGCTGAAAGCATCCCTGCTGAAGTTGTGGATGGCAGGCGAGGGGGGCTCAGAGCCCCCACAGAGGTGGCCTGGGCTGGGGGCGGGGATGCAGCGCGGTAGGGCGGAGGGCAGCCTGTTTACCCATCCATCTGTACACCCCACAGCAGGAATCCAGCAGGATTTCCCGTCCACTCAAAGGCTGCCTGTTTATTTTGGGAGGGAGACTCAGACAGCTCCATTGTTTTGCTGTGAAGTTGGGGTTATAAATAGCAGGTGGTCGGGGACGCTCCTGGGCTATTTTGGGCCCCCACTAGACAAAAGTGGAAAAGCTCCAAGAGGAAGGTGGAATTACTGAAATGCCGACCTTTCCGGCAAGGGTCAGCAGGAGCTGGGTGTCTGGTTTTGGGTTGGGTTCTTGACATTATTTAAACATGAGGGAAGGAGGAGAGAGGAACATGTTCCCAGTTGCATGGACTTCGTGCTATGTCCTCCTCAGCACCAAGAAGGGTGGTGGGGATGAGGGCTGAGGCACCTGAATTCTGCATCAGAGCCTCTGGGTTTAGCCCAGGTCTGGAGGAGAGACCACAGTGGGGTTTTCCACCTGGCTCTGCAAGTGGGAGAGTTCCCAGTGGATAGGGAAGCTGGGGAGGTAGGGAATGCACCAAAGCACTGGCCTGCCCCAACTTACCCCTCATGCCTCAGTTTCTCCCATCTCCTATAGGGATGCTGAAGGAAAGGGCAGGTAATGTCCCAGGGACAGCCCTGCTTCCACCAGGCACATACACCGTGTCCTGCTGGAAGGCAAAGATAAGCCAAGGTGACTCTCAAACTTATTTCAGACCCTTTCTCTCGTTAAACACCTGCACCAGGAAGGTTGTACAGGGAGGAGCAGGGACCCAGTAAAGCCACTCACACCAATGTTTTATCCTTTGAGAAGGTCTGTTCCTTTAATGGGGTTTCATTTAACTGGGCTCCGCCATCGTTAGGAGCCATAAAATGGCACCTTTTGGCTCCTGATTGGAAGGCCACGTTTCACGCAGCCCCCTCGTATCCAGCAACGGCTGCTTTATTGTGCATTGCTGCCTCTCACTCGGATTTAACCAATTTGATCCATGTCTAATACATAAATAAATAATCCAGCAGGAGGGTTCACGTTGGATGACAACAGGCGGCTATAAAACATGTTTCTCCCTGCCAGAGCCATCTGAGCCAGGCTCCGCACGCCCTCTCATGAGCAGAGCTGCTAGTACAGCTGGGAGAGGGGGCCTGGGGACCCACAGGCTTCTCTCTTTTATTGAAACTTCATTGTTTGCTTTAGAGTTTTATTTTATGTTAAATAGATGCTGTATATTCCTTACACAGGGGGCAATAAAGTTTCTGAGCTGGAATAAATTGGCTTCAGAGCAGGGAGAGAACCAGGGAGATATGGCTGGGCAGGAGAGTGGTGGGGAGGATTTGGCGTAAGGAGGGTGTGAGGAAGCACCTTGCTTCCCAAGCTGCCACAGGGACTCAGCCCAGCTAGGGATTGGGGTATACAGGCACCCCTAAATCTCACTGAGGGATGATACAGCCCCAGGGGGGCGAGGGCTCTGGCAGCTCTGGGTTACAGAGCTGCTGGTGGTGTGGGGAGGACAAGGAGCCCCAGCCCAACCCCGGGACAGGGTGAGAAATCCTGGATAATGAGCATCCAGACCTACTCCCTACCATGTGCAGCCTAGTGCCATGGGTTCTCCTCTGCCCCCCAACATTGTGTGCCTATGGAGAGTTGCTCTTCACTTCAGGGGAAAGCTCATCCTGACCCACCCAACTTCAGGAATGCCAAGGAGGATGAAGACAGCTCTTCATAATTAACTGTTATTAGCTAATAGGAACAATGAGCAGTGCTGTGTCATCCATCTTCCCCAAGTCACACCACCTGCACCACAAACAGGGGAAGCTGGGGTTGCATGGGGTCACTCCTGAAATGTGGCTGTTGCTGCTGTCCTTGTAAGACTGGAGGGCCCACAGCCAGGGCTAGGATGCTCTCTTGCCAGTTGCTGTCCCACTGCAGAAGAGAGCCAGTCTCTGCCCCAGGGAGTGTGAGATGGGGAGAGAAATGGGGCTATACCATGAGAAAATCTCCTGGTTTCAGTCCTGAGCTAGGACGGGGACCAAGGCAGAGCAAAGGCAATGCTGATGGCAGCCAATCTGAGCTAAAGCTTTGTCCCTTCTTCTCCTCCCTACAGGCAAAAAGAAAGCAACTTTGTTTGACAGCCAGGCTCCAATCTGCCCCATCTGCCAGGTTCTCCTTCGCCCCGGGGAGCTGCAGGAGCACATGGAACAGGAGCTGGAGAAGCTCACCCAGCTGAACATCAGGTAAGCAGCTCCTTGGGGACCACCAGCATCCCTGGGAAGCCAGCTGGGGCACCTGCAGGTGGCAGAGGAGATGGTGGTACCCACGGCTACCAGTTCCAGAGATCTAGTCCTAGACAGCAAGGCAAAAACATTTTCCTGGAGTTCACTGCAATGGTGAAGTCAGGCAGAAATGCCTCCCGGGGGGCACAGGCATCCCTTTCCCTGGGGACATGTGTTTGGTGAACAGCTCTCACATTGCTGGCATCCCATGAAAGAGCAGCCCTGCAGCATTGGTGCACGCTACTCCTCAGCTACCTTCAGCTCTCTTCTGCTTTCCCCAGCACAGAAAAGTCCTCTAATAAAAAAAAAAAAAAATAATTGCATTTTAACTGCTGGCAGTTATTTAGGAAATGGCTGCAGCCAAGGGTTGGCATATCCCTGCCCCTGCCTTAATAAAACTCAGCAGCCTTGGAAAAGAGCGTGTTTATTTCAATTATTAATGAATTCTCCGGTCATTAAAAGGTGAGGAAAGGAATCAAACTGCTGACTAGAAGCAAAGTTACGTCACCAGGTGGTAGGAGAGGAGGGAGAGCATATGTGTCAGTGTGTGTGTGTACACCAGGGCGATGGGGTGCACGTGGCTGTGCACAGTGCAGAGGATGCAGAATCCATCCCATCTCTGCCTTGGATCTTCTTTGATTCAGCAGTAGCCATTGCACACGGAGGGACAAGGAGGGAGCTTTAAGTTAGAGGGAGACCTCCCCAAATGGATCTGGGTTGAGATATCCCAAATTCGACACCCGCAGCCTCAAGCTGAGCCCCGCATCCCCCACGCATTGCACAGGAAGATAGAGAAGGGGGGGAGCAGGGAACAGGCAGCCCATTTATCCCCCGCGACACCCAGTCCCCTTGCAAGCGTAATTTATGGTGTAATTTGGGCCGCATCCAACTTAATAAAGGGCCACTGCAAATTAGTGAACAGGTTTAAATGAACAGAAGCAATTAGTGCTCAGAGGAGCCCATCAAAGAAGTTGGGCCAATATCAGAGTGAAACTGAAACCGCAAGCCAGGAGCAGAGGCTGGCTGGCGCGAAGCGGTGATGGGAAGGTGGCGTTTAATGGGAAAGGAAAGGAAACCCTAAATCATAAAGCATGACAAGGGCCATTGTGGGCCAGCTGACAAATGAAAAAGAATGGCATTATTCCTTTAAATAACAGCAGCAGTTAGAGAGGAGACAGCTCTCCCTGGCTTGCCCTCGCTTCCCTGGCCTGCTCCACTCGGCCACGCAGGCGGCGAAGAAGAATCAGAGGTCTTTATTAATTATTAAATAACGACTCCCTCCGTAGCATGATAGATAACGTTCAATCTAGGCGATGGATTCAGGCAATGGAGGCTAATCTGTAATACAGCAGCTCTGCACGGGGATGGGCTCTCCCAGTCCTGGAGGGGAGCAATGCAAGGGCCAGCAGCAGCAGCAGGGTGGGAGGGCAGCAGTAGTGGGCAGGAACAGCAGGCAGCAGAGTGTGACAGGGTTGAAGTCCCATGCACTGCCCAGCTCCAGCGGGGCAGCTCAGTGTAGCGGGTTGCCCTGTTTCCCATTCCCCCACCTTTCCCGCCTGGAGAAGCCAGGAGCAAGAACACATCAACAAGAGAAGAGAGAAACTAATAATGATCTCAAATAACCCAATAAACATAAAAATAAAATGTAGGCCTATAAACGTGACGGGCACCGGCAGCCCTGGCCGCTCCCTGCCAATACCGACTTGTTACCGAAATGGCCGAGCAGCTGTTACTTATCAGTCTGATGGGGAGAAGCGAACCAGGGGGCTGCTTTCCAAGGGCCTTTTTTTGTTGTTTTTTTTTTTTAATTTAAAGAGGATGCAGCCAATCATGGCTCGCGATGTTAAGGTTTTAATAAACCTTAATGATTTGCAACAAAATCATACATTTACCGTTCTCGGGGTTAGGAAGGCAGATCCCCTCCTGCCTGCTGAGCCTGCAGCGCTGGAGACTTGGCGGGCGCTGCATCAGCTCCTGCTGCAGCACCGGGACTCCTTGTGTGCTGGGATCTCTCCCGAGGGACCATGGCCACAGGGTTGTGTGGTGGGGTGAACCAGCCAAGATGCTGTCATAGGGTCAGATCAAGAGGCTGGTGGAGAAGCAAGGAGGGGGAGCTGCCCTGTGCCGTCACCTCTACCGGGTGTTGAGCACTCGCTTGGACTTTCAGGCATTGTTGGAGTGGGGAGCTCCAGGAGGTCAGAGGAAGGAAAAGTAATTTCTCCAGGTGACTACAGGAGCTTCTTGGGGCTGAGATACAAGGGAGCTGTAGGCACCACCTGGATGATGCTACACATGGTTCCACATCTCCAGGAGCAACTCACCCACTCCAGTGAACCCCTTGCTCAGCTGGTGGCAATGGGATTTGTTATCCCCCAGAGACAGGGGCAGCCCTTTTTCCTCCCATGGGCAGTGCTGGTGTGACCACCCTGGCCTCAGGACAGGGACATCTACCCAGCTGGAGCATCATGCAGTAAGGCAGGAGGAGCCATGTGGCAACAGGGCAGCACCCATCCATGCCTAAGGACTGTGTGTGTCCGGGGGTTGAACACTGGTTGTTGGAACAGTGATAAACATCACTCAGGAGGATCCAACCCTGGTGCAGGGTCAAGCTTTCACTCGAAAAAGCAGACTTGAGTGGGAATGAGGTACCTGGGTTTCTAGCTCTGCTGCCTTCTTGGTGTGTCCAGTCTCCCAAAGCATAGGGAGACCCATGCTTGTGCTTGCCCCACGGCTCCTCCACCCCGTGTGGGTCCGACCGAGCCTCGTGCGCAGCTCCGTGCTGCGAGGCAAGGCTCTCTGAATGCAAATTTCATTTCTGAGCCACTGGCGCTGTTTCAAGAGCGGCAGCCTCCGAGCCCTTCTCGGTGTTACATATGTAACAGCCTCATTGAACTTGACATGTCAAATTCAGGCCATTTGTGCAAAATCTCCCTTTAATAATACCGTTTCATTTCGCTCAAATGAGACTTGAATGCATGTAAAATGGAAAAGGATATTTAAGCGCTAACATTAGGCAGATGTCTTGCCAGAGGCCGATTGAATATATGAGATTTTGAAGTGCTTAACACGTTTTCGGTGCTCCCTCTTAGAATATGTCACCTGGCTTTCTTTTTTTCTCCCCCTCGTTTCTTCCCCCCCCCACCCCTCTTTAAGTGAAGGGTATAAATTGAAAGAAAACAAAACTACAAGCCTTGGTTTTATGGGTTTTAACTCTTGCCAGGCAAGACTGTTGGTATTCCTCCTCCAAAGAAGAAATTACCTTGTAGCTCACCTTTGCAGAGCACGGGCTCAAAGCAGCAGAGAGGCAAGCAGCAGTCCCACGATGCAGGGCAGAAGGGATGCTCTCCTTGCTCTGCATGTACAGCTTGGAGAGCAAAAGGTGCCCAGCTGAGCTGCTAAGTGCCACCAAGGTAAAAATGAGAAATAATAACAGTGACCCTTTGTGTACGCTGTTGCCCTGTGCCCCAGCCAGGCTGCAGAATACATGAATATTCCTGGTTTGTGTGCATGAAGCTGATCTGTGCACTAGATGTGAGCCTCCTATCCTCACTCGATTTATATTCACTTGTTTTACACCTCATCCGTGCTAAAGGCTTGCAATAAAGCACACTGAATTGTGAGACTCTTTCTGGAGCTGTCAGTGGCCCCAGCTCCAGCCTTCGGCTGGTGCTCTGCCTGCAGATGCATTTCCCCAGCCCAGGGCTACACGGGGAGTGCAGGTGAGTTCGAGAGCAGCACCCACGGGTGTCCCTCGGGACAGGGACACACACACACACACACACACACACACACACACACACACATCCCTGTTTGCATACAAGTGCATTGCTGCACATGTCACTGTGGGTAAATACTGTGAGCAGGGGTGATGCTGGGCAGCGACTGCAGAGGACAGCCTCCTTATGGAGGGGAGGCTGGGTGAAGGGCAGGCCTGGGGCTCTGGTTTGAGTTTGGGGTGGGAGGGAAGATGAATTTGAGGACAGAAGAAAAGGAGGAAGTGGGAGCTGTGGAGCCCCACCTCAGCTGATGCTCCACAATGGGTCCGTGGTTCTTTCTAGTGTTTGGGGAAGAACCTTAAGAAGTCATATTACAAATACTACATATTACAAATACTTGCTGAGTCAAGCAATTTGAAGGTTGGAAATGTGCCTTTGGATGCAGAGGTTTTAATAGCGCGATCCTCTGTTCTTGAATATGCAGTGCTCTTTTTGAAAAAAAAAAATATTTGGCAGGGGGTGTTTTTATTTCCCTGTGTGACAACTGGCAGATTCTTCCCTCCATTACCAGCAGCAAACCTATGCTTCTGAGCTGGGATTTTCCCTCCCCAAAAGGATCAGATGTATCAATATAGCTGGGGAGTAGTCCAGAGGGTGAGGCAGTGAGATGGACTGTGCTGGCTCTGTTCCTGCTCTCGGAGCTGGAAGGACAGTGTGAGCTCAGACAGGGCTACCTCAGCTCTTTCTCCTTAATATAAAGGATTTTCTAAGCTTAGCAGACATACCCAGCAACATTCTCATGCCATATTGTAATATTATCTCTGCCTGTCTATGGCATCCCAGGGCTGGGCATGGTGGTGCCTCTGGGAATGGATGTGCTTAGGTGGGAGGGTGAAGGATGATGCTGTTCTCACAGGGTCCCATGGCTCTGCAAACTCTCCCCTTATTCACTTTTCTTCCTTTTTTCCTCTGCAGTCAATAATTAATCTGAGCATATTTGTGTTTTAAAGCCCATGCCCACTTGTTGGCTGCTCGCAGCCTGGGCTAGCAGCTCTCATTGCTCCTTGACACTCTGCTGGGAGCATGGAGCCACATCTCTGCACATCCAGCATCTCAGGAGCTACTAATTTCCCCTAATGACCTTTCTGTGTGTCCAGGAATAATTTCTCTTCTGATTCTCTGATTACGAAGCATTTCCCAGAACACAGGGGGCACCGGGGTCTCTCACCTTGGTGCAGATGGAAA